CTCCAGCTTCACCATTACTGTTCCCAGGACAGCACCTCCAGCTTCACATTACTGTCTCCCAGGACAGCACCTCCAGCTTCACATTACTGTTCCCAGGACACAGCACCTCCAGCTTTCACCATTTACTGTCTCCCAGGACGCACCTCCAGCTTACACCATTACTGTCTCCAGGACAGCCACCCTCCAGCTTCACCATTACTGTCTCCCAGGCACAGCACCTCCAGCTTCACCATTACTGTCTTCCAGGACAGCACCTCAGACTTCACATTTACTGTTTTACCAGGACACACTATCAGCCCCAACATTTTACTGACTACCTGGACATTCAACCTCCAGCTTACAGTTTCTGAATACATGGCCAGCTCAAGGGCAGTACCATGTAGCCCGGATTTTTATGTTCCCATCTGTTTTGTAGAAAGCTTCCATGTTGTATATGAAAGCAAGGCTTGATGTTATCCTCTTTTAAAACATTGTGATATTAGTCCACTCACGATTTATCTCATTTGGGCATACCCAAAAAAACACTTCCCTGTTTTAATACTGCTCTGTAGCTAGTTACAGGATATTGCCACCAGTGTGTGGGGGGCGTGACACCAATTTCACAAAAAATGACAATTTATCCATTGTGGAAGCCCGTTTGTTTGATTGACCGCAGGACTACACATGAGCTTCATAATGATTTTAAAGGTTTGATTTACTGTAATTTACTAGCAACTTCTTGCGAATACTCTATTAATAACCTCCTTATATGAAGCTCTAGCTAATATTGTGTTTCTATTTCTACTGTATTGTATATTGGACAGCTTACCGGTTGTACGCTCTGTTTCTATTTTTTGGTTTGTGTTTGATAAGGGCGCCTACAACCCCATCCGTTTACAGTCTGCTTTATTGTCCAACGAATCCGGTTGAAACCGGTCAAGGGTTCGGACCAGTCGAGGGTTCGGACCAGTCGAGGGTTCGGACCAGTCGAGGGTTCGGAACCAGTCTGATCTGATCAGTGGGTGACTTATTTAAATCATACTGGTCGGTGATTTGGGCTAACACATGAAGGATCTAGTGTAAATTATCTGCCCGAGTAATATGTGATTTGATTGATACAAAAGTATAACTTGCGTGTTGAAGAACCGGTGATTACTGGCAGCAATCAACGGTCGAGCCTCAACCCTTATTTATCAATCACTGTATCTATCTTTTCTAGTTTTTTTCCGTCTCCACCACAATAATTGTAATTATCACTATGTTGATGCGTGGAAATTTTGGTGGAAAGGTCGCTGTTTCTGTAGTAATAATTGTTCTCGTTGTGTATATTGCCGGACGCTGGTAACGACAACCATACCACGCGGGATGACCCGCAAATCGTGTCATTCACAATGTCGTGAGTCATGGTAACTACAGGTTTATGAAATTCACAGTATTAGTCTAGTATTTCAAGAAAAAAGAAACTAATTGAAAGTCACTCCAATCCACTAAAGTACTTATAATACGGTTAGTTGCTACTACCAACCCCCCCCCCCCACCCAACTGTATTCTGCTATTCACTGGTATCACTATATTATATGCGAGTACACTAGAAAGCCAGAAAGATATTTAAAACAGCTGACCAGTTGTGGTAAGTTTTTGGCGACTTCTGGCACCTGCTTATATAGGCTTTTCACTTCATATACAATTCACCTGTTTTCAAAGACTCTTTAGCCTTTATTATCTATATTCTAGGAGCACTTAGTATACACTATACACTGTCTATACACAATGTTTATCAGGGAGACCTTTCGTTCCTCTGGACAAAGAAAAGTTTTTATTAATATTATTTTGCACACGGCCTGGCCTATGTTCCCCCTGCAGTAAACTCTGCTAGGTAGATGGCACACTAATTCTCCTTTTTTGACCGCACTCACACACTCGTATATTAAATGTTTTCCGCCCAAGTTGGTTCCGAGGCGCTAGAGGGATGTATCGTATAGGATTGATGCTTAAGATCACTCACTAATAATAATATCTTTATTTACTACATGTACAAGGTATACAGACCATAGTTGACATCAATGACATACTAATATATAGAAAGTCCCTTGTTATGCTGAGCATTTCCCCCAAATTAGGTCAGTTTTGTCCCAGGATGCGACCCACACCAGTCCACTAACACCCAGGTACCTATTTTATACTGTTGGGTGAACATAGACAGCAAGGATAAACGGATAGAAAAGAATTCTGCTCGACCTGCGGCACTGAAGGACATGATTTCAAGTCCTGTACCTCCACTACACCAAAATGCCTGAACTGCAAGAATGAGCACCACACCCTAAGTGTCCAACAAGACGGTAAGTATTCAAGAAAACCCAAGAAGAGAAAACAACTACAAGGTCCCCAACATATGCTACAATCACCAAACTGCAAGCAGACACCACTAAAATACTTAAGACACACAATCTTGCCCCTCCACCGGCAACGTGCTACCTCTCATGTCAGACAGTAAACCCACAAAAATCCACTGGTCCATGATGTATGCACAATATGACGAAACCAGGATCCTTCAACACGGTCATCATTGAATCTTCAGGGTAAACAACATGCCTAGTTTCATTTTCCCAGATTGTTCACCTGCTGCTGACATACTCAAGCTCACCTCCAACAGCGTTATTGTCTCACCACCAGAAAGTTCGTTCCAATGACAAGTTCGGTTCAGGCGGGCTTCTACACAAGATGGCCAGCGTGGTGCCTCTACACAGCTCTCCCTTACCATTAATAATAATAAAATAATCTATTTCTACAGTACAAGGTGTACAGACCATAGCTGACATCAATGACATACTACTATATAGAAAGCCGCTTGTTATACTGAGCATTTCCTGCAAATTATGTTAATTTTGTCCCAGGATGCGACCCACACCAGTCGACTAACACCCAGATTCCCATTTTATACGGATGGGTGTACATGGACAGCAGATGTCTTATGGAAACACATACTTATGTTTTCCAGCCGTACCGGGGATTCGATCTCCGGACCTCAGTGTGTGAGCACTAGCGATCGAGCTACGGGACAATGTAATGTACTACAGAGAATTACGCTCTCGACTACAAGACGGGACTGTAAAGTTCACCACCGATGTTGACGACCCTGACATATATCAAATACTGGTTGAAGACATGGAAGAGCATGTAAATAACACGCTCAGAAAGATCCAGGTGATCCAAGTCTCCAGAACAAAATTCAAGTCCATCAAAAATGGCTCCATCCATGGATAGCCATAACTTCATTGACCAATCAGCATGAAGTGAGCGTCCCCAGCACTGGTGTGTGGCTCCAGTCGACCCTGTAATGGCTGCTTTCTCGGCCCTTTCCGACACCGCCAGCTGCTGTGCAGCTCATCAATTTTCCTCGCATTACCAGCTGCTGCACAGCTGGTGATGCCCTTCAAGACATTCCCATTCCTGGGAACCAAGGCCAGGTCACCTCTTGGAAAAGGCCAGGGCCGGGTGCTTGTACCGCGAATCTTTGTAAAAAATTAAGTTTGTGGAGGCCAAAAAAAAAAGCAGGGTATAACAGTGCTGTATGACCCTGGTGGGTTTAGTGCTTAGTCTTGATTATAAAAATAATAATTCCAGAGTATAGTAATAATATTTTATTTCAGTGGTACCAACACTTTTATAAATACAAATATTTCTTTTTCTGCAGTATACAGATAATATAGTTTACATATAACAAAATATTGTGAAGCATAAAAGAAAGGAACTAGCATGGGTGTTCAATGTTATGGTGAAAAAAGAGGCTAAAAGTAGTGGAGATATCGTGTTTGAGAGCAATGTGTGGTGTGAATATGCGGAGAATTCGCAGGATAGAAATTGAAAGGTGATGTAGAGTCACCAAAGGGATATAATTTAGAGGGCTGAGAAGGGGTTGTAGAGGTGGTTTGGCCATGTAGAGAGAATGGAGATAGGCTGACCAAGAAAATGTATAAATCTGGGGTGGAGGGCAAAAAGAAGAGTTGTCCCAGGAAATGATTGGAGGGAGGGGGTATAAGAGGCTTCGAATTTTAGGGGCTTGAGCATCCAGCAGGCTTGTGTGAACGTGTTAGATAGGAGGGAATGGAAACAAATATTTTTTAATAGACATATCGGGATGTGAGCAAGGTAACATAAAAGGCTTCATGGAAACTGGTTAGCTGGAACTGAGTCCTGGAGGTGGGAAGGGCAGTGTCTGCACTCTGAAGGAGGAGTTATGTTGCAGGGTAATCATGAGTGTGATGCCAGTATACTTCTGGAAGACGGTGATTGAGTTAATGTTGGTGAATGTGCTTTCTTCTTTGGGTTAAGATAAGATTTTGTTCGGATTTTTAACCCCGGAGGGTTAGCCACCCAGGATAACCCAAGAAAGTCAGTGCGTCATCGAGGACTGTCTAACTTATTTCCATTGGGGTCCTTAATCTTGTCCCCCAGGATGCGACCCACACCAGTCAACTAACACCCAGGTACCTATTTGCTGCTAGGTGAACAGGACAACAGGTGTAAGGAAACGTGTCGAAATGTTTCCACCCGCCGGGAATCGAACCCGGCCCGGGCCCTCCGTGTGTGAAGCGGGAGCTTTAGCCACAAGGCCACCGGGCCACACCATCTGCGTAGCTGGGAAACGGCTGTGTTAAAAATAACAACAACAACAACACAACATAATAATAATAATAATAATAATAATAATAATAATAATAATAATAATAATAGTAATAATAATAATAATAATAATAATGCTCCTACTGTATGCTACTAACAGTACTAAAATAAATGGTAGTGAAACATGGCTGGCTACGTCCGTAGAGACGCTGTGTAGCCCTTGTGGCTTAGCGCTTCTTTTTGATTATAATAATAATACGTCCGTAGAATTTACACAATTCAATTTTTATTTTCCTCCCAGGGTGGACACAGTATATACTATACTAATAGTCACACAAAATACAGTTTATTCTCTCATTGTGGCCTCGAAATCTTTAAGGTTAATTAATGTCACAATTAAAAAAAACGAATTCAAGATATCTTTATTAGTCTTTATCATACAAATAAAAAAACAGTAAAAGAAAATTCGTAGACTTCAGAATGCCTATTGTGCCTATTGGATAATAAATGAAGTGCCTAATGTGCCTATTGGACAATAAATGAAGTGCCTATTGTGCCTGTTGGACAATAAATGAAGTGCCTATTGTGCCTATTGGATAATAAATGAAGTGCCTATTGTGCCTATTGGATAATAAATAAAGTGCCTATTGTGCCTATTGGATAATAAATGAACTGCCTATTGGACAATAAATGAAGTGCCTATTGTGCCTGTTGGACAATAAATGAAGTGCCTATTGTGCCTATTGGACAATAAATGAAGTGCCTATTGTGCCTGTTGGATAATAAATGAAGTGCCTATTGTGCCTATTGGACAATAAATGAAGTGCCTATTGTGCCTATTGGACAATAAATGAAGTGCCTATTGTGCCTATTGGATAATAAATGAAGTGCCTAATGTGCCTATTGGACAATAAATGAAGTGCCTATTGTGCCTGTTGGATAATAAATGAAGTGCCTATTGTGCCTGTTGGATAATAAATGAAGTGCCTATTGGATAATAAATGAAGTGCCTATTGTGCCTATTGGATAATAAATGAAGTGCCTAATGTGCCTGTTGGATAATAAATGAAGTGCCTATTGTTTTTCCTATTGGACAATAAATGAAGTGCCTATTGTGCCTATTGGATAATAAATGAAGTGCCTAATGTGCCTATTGGATAATAAATGAAGTGCCTATTGTGCCTATTGGATAATAAATGAAGTGCCTATTGTGCCTATTGGATAATAAATGAAGTGCCTATTGTGCCTATTGGACAATAAATGAAGTGCCTATTGTGCCTATTGGATAATAAATGAAATGCCTATTGTGCCTATTGGATAATAAATGAAGTGCCTATTGGACAATAAATGAAGTGCCTATTGGACAATAAATGAAGTGCCTATTGTGCCTATTGGATAATAAATGAAATGCCTATTGGACAATAAATGAAGTGCCTATTGTGCCTATTGGATAATAAATGAAATGCCTATTGTGCCTATTGGATAATAAATGAAGTGCCTATTGGACAATAAATGAAGTGCCTATTGTGCCTATTGGATAATAAATGAAGTGCCTATTGGACAATAAATGAAGTGCCTATTGTGCCTATTGGACAATAAATGAAGTGCCTATTGTGCCTATTGGATAATAAATGAAGTGCCTAATGTGCCTATTGAATAACACGGTCAGGCCTCTAATTATTCTACCTCTGCTCTGTAACGCTGAATGACCCTTATTGGTTCAGTGCTTTATATATAATAATTGTAATAATAATAATAACTAAAATAATAAGAATAATAATAACTATAATAATCATAATAATAAATCTTAATTGTAAAGCAGCAAGGGTCCTTGCAAGCTTCCATCCATCTCATTATACTCACTCACATTCCATCTCGTAGTTAGTCTGCTTTCACTCTACTATCATCCCTCCTCAGTGCGTGTTGCATTCTTGCTATCTTGCCTTTCAACTCAAGAACACAAGAGCTCTAAGCTCTATAAGAAAGCTTGAGCTCCAGCGAGAAAACCAAGAGAGAGGAGAACCAGCCCAGGGCAACGATGAAGAAGATTCCCTGGAGGTGGTCTATGGTGAGAGGCGTGGCTTCACCATGGCCCTCACCAGGAGTGTCTGCCACTGCTGTTTTTATGCCTTCCTTCGTCTGCCTGTACTCCTGATGGAGGAGTGTGGTATAAAGAAGAATAGTAACGTACATTGCAGTGCACTCTACAACTGCCTTTAAAATTTGGCATTCGCAAGGGTAGTGTCATGATAATGGTGAGGAAATTGAGCTTTTCTTCCCTTCCTCAGGTCAAACCTGATTACCTCCTATTTCTTTCAGGTGTAGTACGACCTTTAAGAGTTTAGCACATAAGAACATAAATGAGGAACACTGCAGCTGGCCTACTGGCCCATACTTGGCAGGTCTTTATCAAACCCAAACCCACTAACAAATATTGGCCCAACCCATTTTCACTGCTATCCCCCCCCCACAAAAAAATTATTCCAGCAATGAGCTACAAATATCAACATAAACTATTTACACAGACAATCCAAGTGAGACTCAGTATCCATTTTTTACAGGTATCAAACTACTATACTAATTCCATTGTTCACCTGAGTAGAGGCAGCCAGCCTGAGTGAGTTGAGGAAGAATTGTCTGACGAGTCCACTGTGCTGAAGCCAGCCTATGACTCTATCAAACCTGGTCTTGAGTGGTGAGTGTCGTTGTACTGCTGCAGCCACGCTGTACGGTGCGAAGCATTCCTGTACACAATGTTGTGCTTGTAGCTTAGTAGCATCATTGGTATACAACAGTCAAGGTGATCAATAAGACACATGTGCAACACTTGGGTATCTTTACTGCTGAAGCCACATAACCAATCATTCAATGTAGAAACTGTGTACTTGAGACAGCGAGAAAATAAGCAGTTGCGAAATGTCAGGAGTTAAGACTCGACTCCTGTAAACATAATCAAGTGAGAACAAATATCCTGTCACACCCCCCTACACATCTTGCTACACCCACCTTCATGATGCGCATGCTGGTGACGCCTCTTCTAGTGAACCTGGCCAGGCTGATGAACTCAATAAATGCTCTGTTTTGTAGGAAGACAGAGCGACCTTGCAACACCCTCGGAAAGATGCTCTCCACTGACTGATGCGGCTCATAGTTCTTCGCCAGACTCTGTCACAGTGTAGAACCAGTGGAGTATCAATATAGCTGGTTAATGGGTTTTAAAGCCTATCATCTACTCCAGGAAAGAACAAAGAGAGACAATATACAAATAATTACCCGCACATAGGAGAGAGAGAAGTTTATTACGACGCTTCGGTTCGACTTGAACCATTAATGATATAATTATAAAAAATTGGTTAGTATTTATCTTATAGTGACGTGAACATCACTGTGGAGGGTATATATAGATCGTAATGTGTGGATTGTAATTATTAATTATTTATTAATTGGGCGATATACCTAGTACTCAACACCAGATGACTAGTATTTCACGTATCTAAAGTTTTACCTAAATGTAAAATTTATACGTTAGGTGATGTACTAAATATTCTCAACACAGATGAATGTGGAAGTGTTATGGGTGACAGGAAACAGGACAAGTTCCTCATGACAGGCTACTGTCAGACAGTGGGTTCCCAGAGCTGGATTTTATACCCATTAAAAACCTGGATCACTACCTCAATATGTCACATACTAGCATAGTGAATGGCACATATAAAAGGATATTATTGTTTTCAACACAAAAGAAGTCTCCCACAGGGCAGGTGACCCGAAAAAGAAGAAACATTTCTGTTTACGTATAGTACAGCCTCTTATCCCCAAAATTTTAGTAGCCTCTTACGACACGCATGGCTTTATGAACGTTTATATAAAGGATCAACGCTGTGTGACCCTGGTGGGTTTAGTGCTTGGTTATAATTGTAACATTAATAATAATAATAACGTATATATGGATATGAGTTAATGAATGCAGTTATAAGCAGCAAGACTGATAACGTGTTACTTTTTCTCTCTTTGGTCTTAGATATATCCTTGCCTTACATTTATTTATCATTAGTTATTCCATCAGTGTATGACATTCTGCCAGTTATTCTCTCTAGTTTTACATTCAATACGAAACAACTAGTACTGAATTACATAGTGAGGAGAGAACCTTCTGCTTTACTATCCTTGATCACGCGCCTATGTAATACACGACAGACCTTAACCTAGGTAGTAGCTATAGTTCTGAGCAGACAGCCTCAGTGGGGGCTTCCAAGTCCTCTGCTATCTGCCTTAAATATGTACTCCCATATAGCTATACCTTCAGTATATATCATGTATTTGATTCTCACTTGTTATCCTTCAGTAATACACAAATAACCTGCACGTTTCGGTTCGACTTGGAAAACTGATGGCACAATTGTATTGTTTCACCCAAGATATTCTGACTATTCTATACTTCAGTAAGATATACCTCCTGTGGAAAATATTGTATATATTTTCCAGAAATTCAGTAAATATATGTAAATAGATGGCCATACTGTATTTAATAATATTTATGTCATAGAAAACGGGAAGCTGCGTCTGCGCAGAAGGGGACTAGCCATCTTGGTTTTGAATTGTGTACAACCTTGGTGTGATGGGAAGGAATTTTTGTGCTCTAGAGGTTGAAATTGGGCTGACACCTCTCAAATAGGAGGCGAAATTGTTGGATATGCATTCCTGCATAACTTGAGATATCAGACGACTGGACAAGACAGCTCCAGGAACCTCAGATAAGCTCTCTAGATTTGTGTATAATTCTGGCCAGTGTTTGCATAAATTTAGTTAGTGAGGTTATTCTGAGTATGATACAACTTAATATCCAGTCAAATTGGTGAGTGATATTAAGATAAAATTTTCCTTCTGTTATGTAATGTGTTTATATAAAATTTTTTTTTTAATATACAGCCCCAAAAATTTTATATATTTACCAGTATTCCTGGTGAAATTATATTTCATTTAATTAATGGGTCCAGAGCAACTTGGGTTATGACAGTGGTAGGTATCGAAGGGGGACATTTTTTGCGACCTAGGTGTCCCAAATTCCTACTTGTCTATGTAACATTGATAAATAATAATTATCTTTATCATTTACTGTTATGTACATAATTAGTTACATTCAATAAATGCAATTTTCCACATTAATTTGCCCGTTGATCCTTCTGAACCGGGAGGTAATTAGTGAAGTCATTTTTGGGTTAATTACTTAATAATTATATGTGAAATGACAGAAGGGGGTGGATGTTTAAGTTCACAAATTTACTTAAGTGTATTTGGATTATAATTTTTAACAATATTAGTTTTGATAAGTCAAGTCTGGCAATTTATTTTTAATTGTATAATATTAATTTGATAAACAATTCTGACCAAGATTTATATCAGTGTATGTGTTTTTGGATAAGTCATGTGTAGCTAATTTTTTAATGGTAAAAATTAATTTTGCTATGCCAAATTCTGGAAGGTTTTTATTAACTTGTATAATATTAATTTTGATGACCAAGTTTGTATTATTGACATTTAAAATTTAATTATACATGTAATTGCTAAGCCAAGTAGCTAGAATTTATTAAAGGGTAATTTGTACTATTAACTTTATAAAGTGCAAAATTTTTAGTACATAATCAGTGTTATTAAGTTGAATTTAATACATTGCATCATGGCTGAAAATGAGGAAATTAATGTAGAAGACAAACATATGGAATATAGAGTAAAGAAAGCATCTCTGCAAGCTAGAAAGTGTCATGTAACAAAAGCATACAGTAAATGTTTGGAATTAATGAATCAAGAAACTGTGAATACTGATGATTTAAAATTGTATTTAGATGCTTTAGGTAAAGAAATGATTCATACAAATTAAAATTACAACAAAAGTGAAGGAGATTTGTTAGTAAACTGTGTAGATAAGACTGAAATAAATCTTATGATTAATCAGTATTATGAATTAGAAGAAAAGATTCTTTCTTATAAAAGTCAGGCCTGAATAAATTAAAATGTGTAAACCAGGCAGTTAATCAGTCTGCTCCAACAAATAATATGTCTTTGCCAAAACTCCCAGAACTATGTTTACCTGTGTTTAATCCTGGAGAAAACTGGAGGAATTTTGGTCAATTTTTAAAGCAGCTGTGCATGACGAGTGACCTAGCCTGTGTAACTAATTATTTTACCTCAAAGGGGACGGGTAAGAGGAATGCTCACATACTCAACAACCCTTCCCAATGTAGATGATCTTACAAGGAAGCAGTTGACTTATTGAAGTCACTTAGGGTAATATAGAACAAAGTAGGTTGGATCTAGTGAATATCATTATTAATTTAAAATCTCCAGATCATACTTACAAAGGTTTACAGCAGTTTAGAGTTAAACTTGAGAGCACTCTCAAAACATTAAGTAATAAATATAATCTAAAGGGAATCAGACTGGTTATTGAGTGCCATAGTACAGAATAAATTAAGCGGGCAGAACACTTGAATGGCTCTCGAATAAATATCACAAAGGTTATTTGATCTGGAGGAAATAGACTAGGTTTACAAGAATTAATTGATCATTTTTGCAGACCACCAACTAACCATTTTAAAGATGCAACACATAATAACTGAGGTACTGTCAAGTTTCAAAAAAGGAAAAATTATACCAATAGTAATAAAAAAAATTTCCCATTTCCTAAAAAGAGTTGCATAGGTGCATACAAGTAGCAGAATCAAAATAATGATTCTCCACTAGGTAAGAAGAATAAGTACCCTCCTAAAGTACCCCAGTTATAAGAAACCAGTCAGAGAAAAGAAAATTGTCTTTTCTGAAAGGGGTAACTCATTTTTCTAAGAATTGAAAAGCATACAATTCATGAATGATAAAGTTGAAAGATTGGAGGAACTTGACAGATGTATCAGATATCTAGGTAATCACAATGTAAAGGATTGTTATGCTAAATTAAACTTCTGTTATCAATGTCACAAAGGAAGACACCATAAGTCATATGTAAAGGCTATATAATAATGTTGATAATAATGATAATGTTAACAATCCTGACACAACAGTGGCAAAATGAAAAAATTGCTGCTAAAGTTAAAAATGATGGTTTTGCTGAAGTAGCCTTACCTGTGTTACAGGTAAAAATTGATGAAAAAAGGGCTAAATCAAAAAATGTATATGTATTATTGACCAGGGATCCCAGCGTATTTCATAAAACATAAATGTCTTGATGGTATGAAAGTACAGATGGGAGATCCCACAACTTTAAAAATATCGGGTTTTTTCTCTCAGAAAAAAGACTCAATTGTATGACACTGTTTATGTAACTGTCGGGTTTGGGCAATGAGAAAAACGTGTTAAGGGCAGAAAATTGTAGATAGACTTCCAGAGAAAATATCTACAGTAGGGCTTAGTAAAGCTACAGAAATACTCTCACATAATGTAAATTTAGCCCCTTCTGGTGTAAGTGATGATCTGTAGGCCCAATAAATATTTTGATAGATGTGACTATTATGCCTCCTTCATAAAGGGTATGGTAAAGAAATGTGGTGTCCACCCTTTTGAAGACTGCAGGGGGCCCATGTAATTATGGAAGGATTCCTCGTAATAATAATTCATGACTAGGGGAAACTACAAATACCATAACTGTGTGTCTTACTCATGAAATCGTGCCCCAGTATAATTCTTCCATAGAGGATGGTTGAGCCAGTGAAATAAATTGTGGAATTAGACAGCATTGAATAAATGTAAATGAAGAAAGTCCAGACGATTTTTTTACCAGGAGCAGTACCTGAAAGATGTAAAATTTGAATCTGGACAATACGGGGTACGACTTCCGTGGAGACTGAACCATCCAGAATTGCCCACTAATTACAGAATGGCATAGGGACATTTTAAAGGGCTCAGCTCCGCGAACTGAGTAAGACACCAGAATTGTTTAACTGCCTATAATGATATAATAGATGAGCAGTTATTAATAAATTTATAGAAGAGGGACCTCCTAGCAAGCCAAAATTTATGGTCCTAATTGCCACATCACGGAGTGAAGAGGGATTCTAAGACCACTCCTCTGAGAATTGTGTTAATTGTAGTGCCAGGAGTAACAAAAATGTACCTAGTTTAAATGACTGTTTGATGACAGGTCCGTCGTTGAGGGGAAAAATTTGGAGAATCTTATTAAATTTCAGGGTGAAAATTATGTCTTTACGGCTGACATAAGTAAAGCTTTTCCCAAGAGTGGGTTTACAAGAGGCTGACCGGATTGTACCCGCTTCTTATGGCCTGAGAATCCATTTACCCACTTAGCCCTCTGAAAACCTTTCGCTTTAGGAGCGTATTATTTGGTGCTACATCCAGTCCGTTCCTACTTCAAGCGACGATAAATGCACACCTTAAATGTACGGGAAGTCCATTGAGTAAAGTAATTAGCAAACAAATTTTTTGTGGACAATTCCTGGGTGTGACGTCAAATGAAGAGGAACTGTTAATGACTTATGGAGAGGCTAATAAAATAATCAAAGGCAAATATGCCTCTGAGGAATGAATGTAATTTGTCCAAATTGAAGGACAAAATAAGTAAAGATTACCCTGGAGATGAAGTGCCAAAATTAGGTAATGTATTGGGTTTAAATTGGGATACTGAGAGAGATTTGTTAATGTTTAAAAACCCAATAATTACAGTATGGGCCCCAAAAAATTAACTAAGAGAGTTTTGCTTGCTGAAGTTTCCAAATGTTTTGATCCACTAGGTTTAGTGTCACCCCTTACTATAAGAGGGAAATTATTAATACAGGAAGCATGGAAACTTAAATGTGCTTGGGAAGAATTTCACCTGAGGAATTCATTAACAGGTGGGATGAATTAATTGGTGATTTTGAGAAAATTTCCCAAAGTTGGAGTTCCCACGCCAGGGCCAATCCAGATGGGAAAAATGTACCCACATTTTTTGTGATGCTTCAAAATTGGCATATGGAGCAGTTTCTTACCTTCAAATGTTATAGTGTTATTTCTCTTGTTATGGGCTAAGGGTAAAGTGTCCTCCAATTAAATCAGGTACCTTACCTCAGTTGGAAATTTAAAAGCCATTTTTGTAGTGTCAAATTAGCTAATTATATAAGAAAAAGTTGCAGGAGATAAATATTAGCGACACTAATTTGGTCTGATAATGAGGTATCCTACAATGGATTCGTAATGGAAACAGTAAAATTGTGTACGTACAAAACAGAGTCGCTGAAATTTAAACAGATGCAAGAAAGTATAATAGTTTGGGTCAGCATATGCAAAAATTTAATCATATACCTGGTGAGGAGAATCCAGCTGATTTTTTGTCCTCGAGGTTTACCTTAGCTAAATTTGTAAATGCTGTATCATGGTTAAAGGACTGACTGGTTGGTAAATAAAACTAATTGGCCTGTACAAAAGGCGTATATTGCTCCTGTTGAAATTACTGTGACCACCGCTCCAATAGTTTGTCCTTCTTTATCCATGATATAAATAGGTATTCTTTTTTACCCAAACTGATCAATGTAACTAAGTTGGTGTTTGAATTTCTAAACAAGATAAATATTTCATATAAGTTTTCACAACCTCTTGAATATTGGGTAAAGAGGGTACAGGAGGAAATCTATGGGAAATGAGATTAAATTGATGATGGAAAGAAAAAAATTTGGGAAAGGTTCTATAATAGAGAAATTGGGGCTGTATTTAGAGAACAATGTAATTAGGTGCAGAGGTAGGTTACAAAATGCTGAATTGGGTGATTATGCTAAACACTCTTATCTTTCTGCCAAAACTCATCATCTAACAAATTTGATTGTTCTAAATGCCCATAAAAATGTAAGCACAGTGGGGTACAAGATACCTTAAATTGTATTAGGGAAAATTTTTGGATTCCACAAAGACGGCAAAGTGTAAAAAGGGGATTAAATCTTGTGTAATATGTCGCCGTGTGGATGCCAGATCATATAAACCCAGTCCTCCACCATTGCCAAAGGACGTGTACAATTAGTGAAACCATTTGATGTAACAGGGGTTTAAATAATAGTGGTCCAATAAAATTTTAACAGGTACGTCCCAAAAGGTGTTCCACTGAAAGTGTATGTTTTTTTTATTCACCGTACTGCTACTACGGCAGTTCATTTAGAAGTGGCACAGGACTTGTCTGCAGAACAGTTTTTTACAGCTGTTTTCGAAAATTTGCAGCTAGGAGATCCTGTCCGAGGTTGATGATTTCGGATAATGCCACAAATTTTTTTAGCAGGTGCTCAAAAACTTGATAGAATTAAATAATAGTAACGATGTTCAATCTCTGTTAACCCAGCGAGGGTGTACCTGGAAATTTATTACTCCTAGAGCCCCCCCTTTGGGAGGGAGGCCCGTACGAAAGACTGATAGGCACAGTGAAGAGGTGTCTCCGCAAAGTACTACACCGGGAAAAGAATTAATTTGGAAAAATTCCGTGCAGTGTTTTGTGGAGGCAGAAAAATCGTATAAATAATAGGCCTCTCTCTACATGATAATACACCTGATGCAGAGTAAATTTAACACCTTCCCCAAACCCATAGTGGAAGGAAATTGGAAGCTGGCCCCTGTCATAGAGATAATCCGGAAGAAAGTGATGAAGATTACAATGATGCCGGCAGTGTTGTTAATTAAATTTTAAAATGTTAAATAAATAATTGATCAATTGTCTAATGTGTGCCAAAGGAATATCTTCTTACACTACATGAACACTTTTGTGGCTCGACAGAGACCCGTAAATCGACAGACCACTCAACCAGGTGACATTGTGTTAATGACACGAACAACATCGAACATTGTGGCCTCTGGGCAAAGTATTGACATTGTACCCAGATGCACAAGGTGTTGTCCGAATGTCAAGTTGTTGTGTCTTGACCAGAAAGTTTACGCACAATTAATAAATTGATTCCCCTTTGGGAAATTTGGTGTTCAATCAAACGTAAATAAAATCTGAGGGAAAGTACACGATGATATGGAAGATAACGCAGACCAAGTGATGCCGGAAGATGAAATCGTAGTAAGACCTACTAGGAGAACAGCCACTCAAGCCAAACTGGCTGGAATCGTCTCCTAAAGGAAGGAGTAATTTTAATCGTTTAGCAACGAACTCCGGCCGGCCGCAGTGTGGAAAATATTGTATATATTTTCCAGAAATTCAGTAGTTATATGTAAATAGATGGCCATACTGTATTTAATAATATTTATGTCATAGAAAACGGGGAGTCGCTCTGCGCAGAAGGGAACTAGCCTCTTGGTTTTAATTGTGTACAACCTTGGTGTGATGGGAAGGAATTTCGTGCTCCCAGAGGTTGAAATTTTGGGGGACACCTCTCAAATAGGAGGCGAAATTTTTTGGACATGCATTCCTGCATAACTTGAGATATCAGACGACTGGACAAGACAGCTTCAGGAACCTCAGATAAGCTCTCTAGATTTGTGTATAATTCTGGCCAGTGTTTTCATAAATTTAGTTAGTGAGGTTTTTCTGAGTATGATACAACTTAATATCCAGTCAAATTGGTGAGTGAATATTAAGATATATTTTTCCTTCTGTTATGTAATTGTGTTTATATATAATAATTTTTTAATATACAGTCCACAAATTTATATATTTACCAGAATTCCTGATGTATAATTCATTTAATTAATAGGTCCAGAGCAACTTGTGGTTATGACAGTGGTAGGTATCGAAGGGGGACTTTTTGCGACCTAGGTGTCCCAAATTCCTACTTGTCTATGTAACATTGATAAATAATAATTATCTTTATCATTTACTGTTATGTACATAATTAGTTACATTCAGATAAATGCAATTTTCTACACCTCCAATATAAGACTTACTCGCAAATCCGGGTCGGTGGATGAAGAGAGAGCATTCTTATAGAAGTACCCTAATCCAGCCACATCGACGCCAGAGGCCTTCAGCTGCCTCACAGTGTCCATGGAGGCTGGGGTCTTGGCGACGATGAGGTAGGCCGTGAGATTGGTGCAGTAGGCCAAGGTGAGTATCAAGGCATACAGCCATAGGGCCCCAAGTAGGATCCTAGTGGGGGAGGAGCGAGGAAGAGAAGGCAAAGCTCGCTGTATGTGCAGCCCGAAGGTGTACATGTAGCAGTAGCCAACCTGCTGCAGATGAAGAATCTCTCCATTCCTGTGTATAAACAAAACAATGCGAGGCTTATGGCAGTTTTTTTATGAAAATATTTCAGTTATTGGGGTTCATCAGTTCATCAATTCAGTGTTTTAGTAACATAATCTTCACGAAAAAAAAGAAGAGACAGCAACAACAAATTCAGCAGCTGAACATAAGAAAAGAACAGCTGATAAAAACTTCAGAGCCTACAACAATATATGAGACAGCAAGAACAGCAGAAGGCAATATTATGAGAGGAGTAACATACAGAAGCATTAACAAAGAAACAGCAACATTGAGAAGCATCAAGGATAACACCAGTAGCAGCAAGACGAACAAAAGGAACAACCGAAAAAAAAGAGCAGAAGAAGAAAGTTTTAGAAAACAAAGTCAGGCACAGTGGGAAGGCGGCAGAAACAGCATATCTATGGTACTAACCTGTACCCACTGGTGCGAGCGACGAGGCAGAGGAGAAGACCTGCCAGAAGGAATCCAGCCATGACAGTGAACCAGACGTGGGCGCTGAAGGGGTAGGTCAAAGCATACCAACGGGGCAGTGGCTGCTCCCTCCGTGCCATGAAACAACTCATCTGGCACAACACAACTCGTTAAAATTATGTGTGTTCAGTTTCAAAGTCTTGAATATTGGGAAGCTGAAGAATGAGAAAGGAGCCTTTTATACTGCCAGAGCTGATGTAAGGAGAATGTAGATGACGCCACAGGTGGCCACTAGTGGCAGTAACATAAACATTGAGGAATACTGCAACAAGCCTACTGGTACATGCTAGGCACGTCCTTAAATCCAACTGTTCACGTATAACTAGTGACTGAGCAATAAAATTGTCCTCTCTACCAATTTTATTGTACCAATATTATTATGCAGATAAGTGTGACATATGTGCAGCCTCTGAGTTTTAGAACTCATTCGCCGTGGGTTCAAGCCCCACCCATTCCGATTTGTTGCAAACGCGTTATTACGATTTTGTGAGTCACAGGTTATCAACTAATCAACAAACCGGAAAGAAAAAAAACTGTTGAACATGTGTCGTACTTATCTACTTGTTAGCATTGTGCACAATGTTCATGCTGACACTTGTCTGACACTGCAACATAGCGGTATCTTGGTACAGAGGACAATCTTATTGCTCAGTCATTAGTTATAGTGAGAAAGTGGCATTTGAGGCCCCTCCTAGCATATGCCAGTAAGCTTGCTGGTATACAAAAGACGAGGTAATCAGTTCCTCAGCCATGGAGTTGGTGATGAGTGCTGTAGGTATAAAGATCTGCGGTACTCTTCGCCAACTCCAAGGCTGAGGACTGCTTACCTTGTCTTTTGTATATAGTTCTACAGTCTTCCCATTACGTCCTTGAATTTGTATTGATAAAGCCAACGGATGGCGAAACTTCTACTGATACATAGTAGTAGTACTAGCAATAGCAGTAGTAATAGTCACCCTGGAGTCGTAGGGAGTGGTGAAGTCGACAGCTGAGGCACGGTCAGCGGAGACATAGATGCTAGCAACACCCAGGTGTGCCTCACCTCGCTGTAGCTGACCCAGCATACCACTCCAGTGACCTCCTCCAACATCCTCGCCCCACAACTCTCCTGCAGAAGCAAGTATGTTTGCACACAGTGTTAACTCTAGCTGTTATCCTCCTTTAGCTCATTTCAAAGTCTTCCTCAAAATTTTGTATATTTCCTTGCACTCTTCCGGAGAGAGTCCCTGATACGTTGTGCGAGAAACTGTTGAAGACTCACCCGGGGGAGGCTCCAAGAAGAGCACAGAGAAGTTGTAGAAATGAGCCAGAGAAGTGACAACGTCAATATCTACCCCGTATGGTGACACTATCTTTCCTTCCTTCCCTGGCAGGTAGAACACATTGGGCTCCCACTTGAAAGTCACGACCTGTGGAACCATTACTGTTGTTACATTCATGAAAAGCACTAAATTAGTAGGGGTCATCTGTGCCTGGGGAATGGAAGACAATCAGATTCGATCCAAGGGGAGGATAACTCCAGTTCTGTTGCAGGGTCAGGTCAGGTCAACTCGGCTTCCTAGGGTGGGAAGAATGTACGAAAACACTCCATGCTGATAGTATTAAAAGTATCCCTGACTGGTGGTGAACATGGGTCATCAGGTCTTAATGACCCTCGTGAAGTCAATAGGCTTTAAACCCCATTATCCAACTATTATCATTTACATATTGTTTGTTTCTTAAGTTTACTTTCCATAGATTAAGTCACCAGTCGGAGTATATGTACTTTCAGTACATATACTCCGAGAAACGTAAACTTGTGGGTGTATATACCGAGAGATATAAGCTCTGTATGGCGTATATGCTCTGAAAAGTGTATATACATCTTTTGTTGTATATCTCCTGTGTAGTATCTGTAGTACTATTGCAGGGTAAATGTGACATACAGCAGGCATGTGTGTGAGTGTGTTAGATAGGAGTGGTGACAAATGGTTTTTGGGATCTGACGAGCTGTTGGAGTGTGAACAAGGTAATATTCTGTGACGGGATCTAGAGAAACAGGTTAATCGGACCTGAGTCCTGGAGATGAAGAGTACGGTACCTGCACTAAACAAGAGGGGGTTTGGGATATTTGCTCTTTGGAGGGATATCTAAGCTGTCGTATCTGCGCGCCTCTGCACTGACAGTGATAGTGTGAATGATGATGAAAGTGTTTCTTTTTCGGGTTACACTGTCGGTGGGAGACGGCCAGAGTGTTAAAAAGAATATGAGTAGTGCTCACCTTGAGGACGGTGCCGTGGAGGGAGGTGAGAGGAGGGAGGTAAAACCTCTGGATATTCGGGATAAAGACACCTTCCTTCCAGGTAGAGAGAAGCTGTAGACCCCTCACAATAGACGCTTCCCCTACGTAAACACCCCACTCACCAGCTACCTTTGTCTGGGGGGAGAGGAAAAAACAATATTACATTTATAAATGTTATGGGACCCAACACATATTGATGTATATAAGTAGCAGTTACTCTGGAATACCTAATTATATTGAATTGATGGGGACTCAGCCCTAAATGTCATAAGGGCAGATCACCTTTATGGCTGTAAGGCCATAACGTTTTTCTCAATATAACAGGTTATACTATAGACACACACAATTTAAATAAGTAGTTTATAAAGTTGTATTTCTTTTTGTAAAAGTGAAATAAAATGTGGTAGAATTGTGGTAACTAGAGAATTGTGCTTGGCAACAGTCTTTTGTTGTTTGGTGGGTGTGGGAGGAGCGTAGCTAGGCCCCTCCCTCCCCCTCATTCTCCTTCTTGTCTTCAAACTGGTAGGAACTCTGGGTTCTTCTTTTTATTTTTTGGGCATTATGTGTGCCCCAGGGGTGAGTTTTATACCTTAAGTTGTGGCCACCATACCCCGGGTGACTAAAGTGTGTCAAAACACTGGTTAGTCCAGAGGAAAGGGCAATTTGTCCAGATCGACCACGTGGGCTGTCTTAGAAGAGCAGCTAAGAGGTGTGCAGGCTTAAGTTTTGAATATGTGAGTGCTGTAATTGTATATTATGTACAGGAGGGATCCCAGTCATATGTAGCACCTTGCCTAGAAAGGGAGTGGGCAATGAATGAATGTCTAGGGCAATTGGTATAAATTGCTGGCTAGACTGGTACTGCAAGGAACTTGCAATCCCATTCATTGATAACTGGGACCTATTCTTTGGCAAACGTGATATGTATGCAAGGGATGGGGTTCAACTCTCTGGGGATGGAGTGGTTGCATTAGCCAATTCGATTGAGAAGGTAATTGATGACTTGTCTAGGAATTTAAACTGATAGATTATAGAGGTATGGGTGTTTGTGGGAAACAATCAGGCTGCAGCATTAGGGTTAAAAACAGCAGTTATTACCGGGATACCTCAGGGATATGTTTAAAAGACAATATTCAAAATAAAGTTGCTAGTAATGGCAAATCAATAGATCAACAAACAAAGAGAGATAGCAGAGGGCAACGAGTGACTAGCTCCCTTAAGGTTTTATATTATTGGTATAACAGAGATCTGGTTCAACCTGAAAGATATAGAAATGCCTTCTGAATGCAACATACAGAGTTATAAACTATTCCACACTGATAGGGTCAACAGGAAGGGTGGTGAAGTGGCGATGTATATCAGAGAAAATTTAAATTGTTGTGTTAGACATGATATAAGATTAGAGACATCGAACACAGAATCTGTTTGGCTACAGTTTCTCGAGGGTCGTGACAAATTATTTTGGGTGTGATTTATAGGCCCCCAAACCTTGATAGGGAGTGCAGTAAGCTGTTATGGGACGAAATTCATGAGGCATCTAGATATGAAAATGTTGTGATAATGGGAGATTTTAATTTTAGACAAATTGATTGGAACAATGTGACAGGAAATCTTGAGTCTAGTGACTTTCTTGATACTGTTCAGGATTGCTTTTTAGAGCAGGTTGTGACAGAACCAACTAGAGGAAACAATCTGCTTGACTTGGTTCTTGCCAACAAAGATTCACTAATTAATAATCTTGAGGTTAATGATGAGCTTGGGGAAAGTGATCACAAATCACTTAGTTTCAATATATCATGGAATTACCCAGATAATTGCAATCAAATCTCTGTCCAAGATTTTCACTTGGCCGACTTTATGGGACTGAAAAATTACCTGGGTGTGCTAAATTGGGATGTCCTGACTATGGGTCAGGTAGGTGATCTTGGTTGCCAATATGACGTTTTTCAGAGCATAGTTCTAGCTGCCCAGACAACTTTTGCTCCGAGTAGGGAAATTAGATCTAACAAAAATGATCCCAAATGGATGAACAATAAATTAAAACATCTCATTGGTCAAAAGAGAGGCATATATAGGTGTATCAAAAGAGGGGATGGGCAGTTAAGAAATAAATATATTCAGTTAAAGAGAGAAATAAAGACAGGAATAAGAAAAGCAAAAAGGGATTATGAGGCTAAGGTCGCAAGGGATTCAAAAACTAACCCAAAAGGGTTCTTTCAGGTATACAGAGGTAAGATTAGCATACCTTTGGCTAATCTTTTTAACATATCACTACAAACTGGCATTGTGCCTGATAAGTGGAAAATGGTAAATGTAATACCTATTTACAAGGCAGGTGACAGGTCCTTGGCTTCGAACTATAGACCAATAAGCCTTACCTCCATAGTGGGAAAATTTATGGAATCAATAATTGCCGAAGCAATTCGTAGCCATCTTGATAGGTATAGATTGATTAATGAATCTCAACACGGTTTTACAAAGGGGCATTCCTGTCTTACGAATTTGCTAATTTTTTTCACTAAGGTGTTTGAAGAGGTAGATCATGATAATGAATATGATATTGTGTATATGGATTTCAGTAAGGCTTTCGAAAGAGTTCCACACCAGAGGCTATTGAGGAAACTTAAGGAGAAATTTTTTCCTTGGTAGAGGCATGGCTGACAAATAGGCAGCAGAGAGTTTGCATAAATGGGGAGAAATCAGAATGTGGGCACGTCGCAAGCGGTGTTCCACAGGGGTCAGTGTTGGGCCCGTTGTTGTTCACAATTTACATAAACGACATAGATTAGGGAATAAATAGCGACATAAGCAAATTTGCTGATGACACCAAAATAGGCCGTCCAATTCATTCTAATGAGGACACTAGAGCACTCCAGGATGATTTGAATAGACTGATGCAATGGTCGGAGAAGTGGCAGATGCAGTTTAATATTGACAAATGCAAAGTTCTAAATGTTGGACAGGTAAATAACCATGCCACATATAAACTAAATAATGTAGATCTTAATACTACTGCTTGCGAAAAGGATTTAGGAGTTCTGGTTAGCAGTAATCTAAAACCAAGAGAACAGTGCATTAGTGTTCGCAATAAAGCTAACAGAATTCTTGGCTTCATATCTAGAAGTATAAATAATAGAAGTCCTCAGGTTGTTCTTCAACTCTATATATCCTTGGTTAGGCCTCATTTAGACTATGCTGCTCAGTTCTGGTCACCATATTACAGAATGGATATAAATGCTCTGGAAAACGTACAGAGGAGGATGACAAAGATGATCCCATGTATCAGAAATCTTCCCTATGAGGATAGACTAAGGGCCCTGAATCTGCACTCTCTCGAAAGGCGTAGAATTAGGGGGGATATGATTGAGGTGTATAAATGGAAAACAGGAATAAATAAAGGGGACGTAAATAGCGTGCTGAAAATTTCCAGCCAAGACAGGACTTGCAACAATGGTTTCAAGTTGGAAAAATTCAGATTCAAGAAGGATATAGGAAAGCACTGGTTTGGTAATAGAATTGTGGATGAGTGGAAGACTCCCGAGTACAGTTATTCAGGCTAAAACGTTGTGTAGTTTTAAAAATAGGTTAGATAAATACATGAGTGGGTGTAGGTGGGTGTGAGTTGAACCGGACTAGCTTGTGCTGCTGGGTCTGGCGTCGTGTTCCTTCCTTGAGTGGAGGTGACCAGACTGGGTGGGTCATTGGGTTAATCCGGGGGGGACATGGACCTGCTCTGCATGGGTCAGTAGGCCTGTTGCAGTGTTCCTTCTTTCTTATGTTCTTATGTAGTAAGAACCTTACTATCAATGTAATAAGAGACAACAACATAACAATAAAACATACAATTCACAGCCTAGCCACAATTTGGAGCTGAAACTCAATGCCCTTCAGCCTTTCCTGGACAGTTTTTACGGATATTTTGAAAGGTCATTTAGATAAACTTTTTAAACTGGTGGCTTAGCTGTGTAATATATATTACTCGACTAAGTCAATGATATTATCTCGATTTTATGGTAAGTTTGTGGTGCTGATTCCGAATATTTCATCGGTTTTGCTTGATTGTCTTTGTTTTTTGATAAATTTAGTATCCCATTGAAAAACAAAAGATGTAAAAAATATATTGATCAGGCGGAACTAACTTAAAAATTGCAGTGAAATTATATTTTAGTATTTTAGATCATGCAAAAGTTAAATCATATATTACATATTAACACTTCATTCTATATAATAACAGATTAACATAGTAAGATAATTCAGATGCCACTAATTACTGTATATGAAAACTTTGTACGATTTTCTTCTATGTTGGTCCACAGGACAGTCCCGTTGGAGGCTCCAGCAACAGTCTGCCATCATGTGAGTGTTGCATCTGCCTTGATATCTTTCCTCCATCACCTCTATATCTTTCTGGAACCTCTTCCCTTGTTCCTCATTGGCCTTACCAAGATTATATGGAAATCTGTCTAGGTGGCTATGGAGAAAATGTACCTTTGTGTTAATGTTAGTACCTAAATTTTTCAAGCTTGTCAGCATGTTTTGTACCAGTTCTTCATAACTGTCTGCTTTGTTATTGCCCAAGAAGTTCTTGACAACTGACATATAACTGCATCATCCAAAAACTTCAACACCATTCATACATTTTGTGAAATTAGAATCATGATAAGCTTTCGAATCTGAGGACCATCAAAGATTCCAGCTTTCAGTTTTACCATACTCAGTCCAGGGAACGATCTACAAATGTATTTAAAGTAACTGCCATCTTGTCTAAGGCCTTAACGAATTAGCCCTAACTTAATGTGGAGTGCTGGCTGAATAATGTTATGTCTAATGTTATCATTTTCCAGTACCCGACAATGTTAAGCGTAGCTACTGTAACTGCTTATAGTGACTCGCCTTCTACAGCACACCACCCTGTTTCTGTCTCACTCTGTGTGTGTGTGTGTACTCACCTGTATGTGGATGCAGGGGTTGAGTCACAGCTTCTCTCTGTGTGTGTGTGTGTGTGTGTGTGTGTCTTAACAAGACCCACCTGAACAAGACCAACCAGCTGTTCAGTATTCTTGATTTTGGCTGAAGACATCAGCTGGTCCAGGTCATCCACTGAGCCAGCCACAACCACATACCTATAACAATGAGGGTAGAGATAATTTTGGTGGTAGTAGTAGTAGTAGTTATGGTAGTATTGAATTCAGGTATTTTGTTGGTACTAACATTGGTAATCGAGCACAATGAGGATTATTATGTATCCCAGAATGATTGATTATTAGGTATCTCAGAAGAGGTACCAATATGCCAACGTTATTTAAGAAACATGTCTGGTGTTACTTTACAACCTTGTGTGAGGTAGATGACTGTGTGAGGTAGATGACTGTGTGAGGTAGATGACTGTGAGGTAGACTGTGTGAGGTAGATGACTGTGAGGTAGATGACTGTGTGAGGTAGATGACTGTGTGAGGTAGGTCACTGTGTGAGGTAGATCACTGCGTGAGGTAGGTCACTGCGTGAGGTAGGTCACTGTGTGAGGTAGGTCACTGTGTGAGGTAGATCACTGTGTGAGGTAGATCACCTACCTTCCGTAGTAGTCCCAGGCGTCCAGGTGAGTGTTAGTGAAGTCGTGTAGTAGGTGCTGAGAGTGTAGGAGAAGCATTAGGTACCCTGAGCATCTACTGGACGACCACAGCACCTGCACCAGGTCCTCTCCACCACGCACCTGCCACACCTCTCCACCACACACACAACCATCGTTAACATATCTACGCGAAAAGGCTCAACCCATAGGAGTAATGCTGTACATGAATAATGTAATGTCTGTTTCTATATGTACAAGGTATACAGACCACAGCTGACATCAATGACATACTACTATATAGAAAGCCGCTTGTCATGCAAAGCATTTCGGGCAAATTAGGTCAGTTTTGTCCCAGGATGCGACCCACATCAGTCGACTAACACCCAGGTACCTATTTTATAATGATGGGTGAACGGAAACAGCAGGTGTCTTGTGGAAACACGCCCCTAATGTTTTCCAGCTGTACCGGAGATTCGATATCCAGACTTTCGCAGCACTGGATTTGATCCTCCATTTTTGTTGCCAGAAGGCTATCCTGTTGACCTCATCTTGTTTTGTGTGTGAGTGTATCTATTCTGGTGTGGGTGATTAGCTGTGTAATACCATCTGCATAGGCTAGAGTGATGGAGTTATGGTATTCGGGTGTTGGAATGTCGTTGGTGTATAAAATGTTGAGGGTTGGGGAGAGGACAGATCCCTGGGGTACTCCAATGTGAAGTAGTCAGAGTAAACAGCCTTGGAATTTGATCCTAATGGTGCGGCCGTCTAGGAAGTTGCAAAGGAATTTACAAGTAGTGAGAGGCAGGTTAAAGTTAGAGCAGAGTTTGTGTTTTAGTCCTTCGTGCCAGTGTCAAAAGCTTTTTCGACGTCTTTTACAAGCAGGGCTGTCCTGTTTCCTTGTTTGGTGCTTATGTGGATGTAGTTGAGAATGATGTTAATGGCATCCTGTGTGTATCTGCGAGTTCTGAAACCAAACTGGCCATCAGAAAGTAGAGAGTTGTGTTCCAGGTATCTGCGAAGGCGAAGATTGATGAGTTTTTCAAAGGGTTTGCCTAAAATTTCGAGGAGGCTGATAGGGCGATAGTTTCTAGGGTTAGAGTGGTCTTTATTAGGTTTAGGAAGGAGGAGGATAGCAGTCGCAGCTTTGAAGAAGCAAGGGAGGCATTGAGGAGGTTTGTGTGGGCAGTAATGATGAAGTCAGGAAGGTGTTTTAAGATAATATGGTTTAGGCCAGAGGCACCAAGAGCCTTGGGAGAAAGGCGTCTGAGGAGAGTTTTAATGTCTGAGTTGGTGAAAGGTGTGTCGAGTTCTTGGGAGGAGGTAAGAGAGTCCAGATGGATGTGGCTGTCTGGTGTTGTTTCGTGTGTGTGTGTAGTGTTCCAGTGTTCTATGTTCTGAATGTGTTGGATAGCGTTAGGGTGGGCTGGGTGAGGGTGGAAGATATTCTCCCAAATGTATTTGAAGATGTTAGTAGCAGCCTGCGGGTCTGAGATATGTGTGCTGTTGTGGGTGATGTGTTGGTGGGAGCATTGCCTCTGATATTTTTGATGAACTTCCAGAAGGCTTTGGGGTCTATAATACGTTGTCTGTCTGCTTGTAGAATGAGCTGTGACCAGTGATTAGACTGGTCTAATACTAATAGTCTAGACTATGTAGAATGTTGTTTCTGAGGTAAGTGAGATCTAATCGGACTTGATTAAATGTGTGTGTTGTGGAGGAAGCGGCTGTGGTAGCAGATAAGTAATCTTCTGATAGAAGGTTTGAAGGAGTAACGAGTGGTGGGAGTTTCTTTGGTATTGCGGTGTTGGCTGCTTGTGTAATGGTGTCCTGATGAGACCAAGTTGAGTGTCAATGTCAGAGATAGGTTTATTGTTATAATCATAGGTGTTGTTATAGTCATAGGTGTTGTTATAGTCATAGGTGAGGTTAGTTAGCGGGAGATGTGTAAGATGACTGGACTAAGATTGCCTTTTGGCTAAGATCAAAGTGTGTGTGACTAAGATTAGAGCTTGTAACAGGGCCAGGGGAGATGCAGTGTTGAAAAATAAAGCTAGCTCGGTTTGCCACAATGATGTCAGGTTTGCCCTTTTTTTTTTAAACAGGGTTTGGCAAGGTTAAGGATCTCTAGCTTTATTAACAAGCTATTTACAGATTAAGGATCCCTAGCTTTATTGACAAGCTATTTACAGGTTAAGGATCCCTAGCTTTATTGGCAAGCTATTTACAGGTTAAGGATCCCTAGCTTTATTGGCAAGCTATTTACAGGTTAAGGATCCCTAACTTTATTGGCAAGCTATTTACAGGTTAAGGATCCCTAGCTTTATTGACAAGCTATTTACAGGTTAAGGATTCCTAACTTTATTGGCAAGCTAAGAGCTGTTACCTACATCAGCTCATTTGAAAGCATTTTTATTGTTATGAGACATACAAGTAGGGAACAGGATGAAGTTGGAGCCATCTGTGGGCCAGCATTTTCATTTGATCAAAACTGACTTTATCTCGTTGATATCATTATGCTTGGCCCTGGTGGCTGTAGAACAGTGATTCTCAACCAGGGGTAAATTTACCCCTTGAGGAGAAAAAAATACATGCCAAGGGGTAAATATTTGTGTGATATTTTTGTGCAAAACCGGAATAATTTATTTTTTTCTGACCTTGTTTCTCCGACCCTTTAGGATGGCGATAATTTTTTGTATGGAAGAGAGTAAATGAAGAAATACGTCAAGCCGAGGGTGTTAATGATGGAGGAAACGCTGAAGATCCCTGATGTAGGTGATGTAGAAGATGCAGAGGTGAATCAGAGGAGTACTGCAAGGGAGCTAAGAGCCCCACAAGGGAGCTAAGAGCCCCACAAGGGAGCTAAGAGCCCCACAAGGGAGCTAGGGGCCCACAAGGGAGCTAAGAGCCCTACAAGGGAGCTAAGAGCCCCACAAGGGAGCTAGGGGCGCACAAAGGAGCTAAGAGCCCCACAAGGGAGCTAGGGGCGCACAAAGGGTAGGAACAAGAACACAGACGGGGGAAATGATAATAATGGACCAAATACCCAAGGCAGAAGAAATAAAACCCAAAGGAGAAAGAGGAGAGACGAAAGAGAAGACCGGGGGGGGGGGGGGGGGAGAAGGAGGTATGTTGTGCTGGCTTCTGATTGGTTCTCTCCGTTTAGCTCCGCCCACTCCCTAATGATGCCAAATCGTTCATAATTATATTAAAATAAAAATAACAGAAATAACTAACAAAAAAATCGAAAACAACTTGTAACAATTTACGGCATGGGAACATGTATGATACGGGTAGCAGCGTCACCATACATGTTATAAATGGCTATAATTCGTTGTAGAAGTGTCGTACAGCAAAGTGTTGCCAAATTGCTAAGGTATTTTCCATTAAGATTAACTAAATTTTCGTATTTTTTCAATTTTTTCCTCTGTATCACTGTCCGCTTAAATAAAAATATGTGTACAAGATGAACATTTTAGAGAAAAAATAAACAAAGTAACTGGACAATGGACCATCCAGTTTGTGAATATTTTATCGAGTTTAATCGAGGCCGATAAAAATCTTATCGGCGGAATTTCTTCACTACAAGAAAATTGAAGAGGAAATACATCCCAAAGAATCTAGATATATAATTTAATGCAGCTTTAAGGATGATATAAACGATAAACGAGAAGTGGTAGGGGGATGTAGCAGCCATCTTGGACAGAAACCCAGCATCATCCAATAATTAATGTACGCCTTCCAGTGTACATTACCCCAATATTCATGTTGCCTTTCTGTAGGAGGCGTTAGCATATATCACCAATAACTTAGTAATATGTTATCACTTTTTGAAATATATTTAATAATTTATAATTGTTTGAAAACAACAATAAAATACTTTGACTTGTCAAGCCCGGTTCGCTTAATTCGCCAAATTTATTGGTGTAAATTTTCATAATAAATATATATTCAATTCAAGTTTATTCTCTATAAAGGTTACAATGTGGGGTTTACAGGTTTTGGGTATTTTGTGGTTTACATGTTATAAAATACTAATTACAGAGGGGGCCACTAGGACACCTAGCATGGCTAGGCATTTCGAGCAGACTTAGATTAATTCTTAACATTAAGTCCTTACAGATTATAGTATTAAGTCTAAGTGACTACATCATAATTTTGAGTTTAGCAATGTGAATGCTTTTGTTTTGGCACAATACAAGGTGTCTATATTTGAGTAACATAGACAAATTTATGACTAGTTAGGATTTATTATTTTAAGATTAAGATTAGTATTTCTGGGTTTATAGTCAGTGGGTGAGTGAGTGTAATTGTGAACCACCAGGTGGTTATCATGTAGTTAGTTGTCGGGGTGTATCAGGGAGATAAGATGTTTTCTAACTGTGGTTTTGAAAGTGATGAATGTGTCTGCAGTTCTAGAGTTTTCAGGTAGGGTCTTCCAGATTTTAGGTTCTTTGAAATATACTGAATTTTTGTAAAGGTTTGGTCGAACTCGGGGAATGGCATAGAGATGTTTGTGTCTGGTGTTATGTCTGTGGATCCTGTCACAACTATCAAGAAAGCGTTTTAGGTCAAGGTTAATATTGGAATTTAAGGTCCTGTAGATATAGATTGCACAGTAGTAAGTGTGGATGTACTGAACAGGGAGTAAGTTTAGGTCTATGAAGAGTGGGGTGTTGCCAGGGATGGGATTTAGTGATTATTCTTACTGCGGCTTTTTGTTGGGTTATTATTAGCTTTAGGTGTGTTGCTGCAGTTGAACCCCAAGCACAGATAGCATAGGTGAGGTATGGATATGTAAGTGAATGGTATAGTGTGAGAAGGGCAGTTTGCGGTACGTAGTATCGTATCTTGGAGAGGATCCCCACCGTTTTGGATACTTTTTTCGTTGTGTGTTGGATATGGGTGCTGAAATTTAGGTTGTTGTCGAGGTATAGGCCAAGGAATTTGCCCTCATTATGTCTGGCAATTAGAATGTTGTCGATCTTAATGTTAAGTTGCGCAACACCTGCTCTGCTACCAAACATAATATAGTAGGTTTTGCCAGTGTTAAGTGTAAGTTTATTGGCTCTCATCCGAGTCGATATTTTGAGCAGCTCCTCGTTAGCAATGGTGTTGAGGGTGGCAAGATTAGGGTGAGAGATGACATAAGTCGTGTCGTCAGCAAAGAGAATGGGTTTCAGGTGTTGGGATATGTTTGGAAGATCATTGATGTAAATGAGGAAGAACAGGGGACCAAGGACACTTCCCTGCGGAACTCCAGTATCAAGTGGCCGTGTTGCTGATGCTGTGTCTTTAATGGTGACATACTGATACCTATTAGAAAGGTAGGATTTAAAATATGCAAGCTCATGGCCTCTTATACCATAGTGGTCAAGTTTGTGGAGTAGGATGCCGTGGTCTACCGTGTCAAACGCTTTTCTTAGGTCAATAAAAATTCCTAGCGGATATTCCTTATTTTCCAATGCTTTGTAAAGCAGGTCTAGCATTTTGATAATTGCATCATTAGTGCTTTTATTTTTTTCTGAATCCAAATTGGTAGGGGTTGAGTATGTTTTGTGGCGTTATAAATGAATATAGTCTCCTGTGCACCAGTTTCTCGAAGATTTTGGATAGGAATGGTAAGTTTGATATTGGCCTATAGTTGTTTATGTCTGTAGGGTCACCACCTTTATGTATTGGTGTAATCCTTGCTGTCTTGAGTAGTGTCGGGAAAGTGCTAGTTTCTAGTGACATGGGCCGCTCGCTTGTGCAATAATGGTGGGACAGATTTCCCGAGTTATTTTTAAGTGACTTTATGATCGCGGTGACTTCCGTGGGCTCAGTTGGTACAAGATAGAAGGAATTTGGGAAATTCCCATCTAGGTAGTCCCCGGTACGGGCATTGGTACGTGGGATTTTACTGGCGAGATTAGATTCTATGTTTGAGAAGAAGTCGTTTATCTTGTTAGCTGTGTCAGTGGGATGCAGTTGTGTTTCATGAGGTTTAATTAGAACAATATTCTTGTTTTTTTTCAGTTTGTGGGTCCCTAGAATCTGAGAGAGTGTTTTCCAGGTCTTTTTTATATCTCCTCTTGTGTCAGTGAATCTGCTGGAGTAGTATAGTTGTTTGGCTTTCTTTATTACTTTGGTGAGGACTGATGAATAGTGTTTAAGAATATCTTTGTGTATTAAGCCCTGTCTATATTGCTTTTCATATTGATGTTTCTTATCAATGGATTTCAGAATGGTGCTGGTTAGCCATGGGCAACCAAGCCGTTTATTCGTGATCTGTTTCATTTTCATAGGGCAATGTTTGTTGTATAGTCTAAGTAATTTGTTAAGAAAAATGTCTGTCCAATCGTCAATACCATTGGCATTGGAGAATTCTATAGGCCAGTCAACAGTCTCTAGGTCTGCTGTGAAATTCCTTATTGAGGCCTTGTCATGGAGTCTAAATGAAACTTTGTTGTATTTGAGTAGTGGCTTACTAATGTTTGTTAAGAGGAAGGTTGGGTAGTGGTCAGTAGTGCTATCTGTGATTATCCCTGATTGAAAGGGGGCTAGTATATTGGTCCATATGTGGTCTATTATGGTTGCACTTGTCTCAGTCAGCCTGGTTGGTTTAATTATTGTTGGTATGAGAAGTGCATTATTCATATTGTTGATGAAATCAGTTACAGTCTGATCACCTGGTAGGTCAAGGCTGATATTGAAGTCTCCAGCTAAGAGAAGGTGGTGCTTGTTCATTTGTCTGTTTGTTATTAGTGACTTTAGATTCTCACTGAAGTTTGGGATGTTTGTGTGGGGTATCCGGTATATGGCACCGACTGTTATAGGCGTCTTGAGGTTTTTTACAGTAAAATTAGCAAAAATGTATTCCCCATATTCATCACTAAAGCAAGTGGTGCTAATACAAGATAGTTGGTTAGAGTAATAGATTGCAGTACCACCCCCAACTTGGTTTGGTCTGCAGTTGTGGATTGCCGTGTATCCTGGTAGAGGGTAGATATCTATTGTGTCCTGCTTAAGCCAGGTCTCAGTAAGAATAATGCAGGAGAAGGGTGTCTTTAGTGACTCAAGGAGTGCCAGGAGGTCATCATAGTGTTTGCTTAAGGACCTGATGTTGTAGTTAAGAACTGATAGACTTTGAGCAGTGTTCAGGATAGTGGTGGCTTGTGATGCTGTGTAATAAAGGCAGTTACTTCCCAATAAGTTTTGATTGTGTGTTAGATTATGGAGGTTTAGATCAGGATCAACGTGATCATTCATCTTTTAGGTTTAAATAGTGGTTGTTTATATCCTGTATTATGTGGTAAGTTCTAATACTGATTTCTGTAGTGGTGGGAAGTTTGGATAAGTATACCGCTAAAGCACTTTGGTCATATAGAGTATAGTCACTAATAAACATAATGAAATTGATATTGTCTATGTGTTGTGCTAGAATGAGCTAAAGTACAACTAGATATAAACTTATAATATAAAAATACAAATTAAAATGGTACTTGCAATTGCACTAGTGTCTGATATAGGTTGTTAACAAGAACAATTGCACTAGGGTCTGATATAGGTTGTTAACAAGAACAATTGCACTAGTGTCTGATATAGGTTGTTAACAAGAACAATTGCACTAGTGTCTGATATAGGTTGTTAACAAGAACAATTGCACTAGTGTCTGATATAGGTTGTTAACAAGAACAATTGCACTATGGTCTGATATAGGTTGTTAACAAGAACAATTGCACTAGGGTCTGGTATAGGTTGTTAACAAGAACAATTGCACTAGGGTCTGGTATAGGTTGTTAACAAGAACAATTGCACTAGGGTCTGGTATAGGTTGTTAACAAGAACAATTGCACTAGGGTCTGGTATAGGTTGTTAACAAGAACAATTGCACTAGGGTCTGATATAGGTTGTTAACAAGAACAATTGCACTAGGGTCTGATATAGGTTGTTAACAAGAACAATTGCACTAGGGTCTGGTATAGGTTGTTAACAAGAACAATTGCACTAGGGTCTGATATAGGTTGTTAACAAGAACAATTGCACTAGGGTCTGGTATAGGTTGTTAACAAGAACAATTGCACTAGGGTCTGGTATAGGTTGTTAACAAGAACAATTGCACTAGGGTCTGATATAGGTTGTTAACAAGAACAATTGCACTAGGGTCTGGTATAGGTTGTTAACAAGAACAATTGCACTAGGGTCTGGTATAGGTTGTTAACAAGAACAATTGCACTAGGGTCTGATATAGGTTGTTAACAAGAACAATTGCACTAGGGTCTGGTATAGGTTGTTAACAAGAACAATTGCACTAGGGTCTGATATAGGTTGTTAACAAGAACAATTGCACTAGGGTCTGATATAGGTTGTTAACAAGATCAAGAGTATAACTAGATTTAAATTGACAAAATAAAATTCACAAATTAAAGTACCAAAAGAATAATAATTAAAAAATAACAATGGCAATGACTTGGTTATAATATGATAGTAAGATGGTAGACAGGTACACAGGTACAGGTACACAGGTACAGGTACACAGGTACAAAGGTACACAGGTACACAGGTACAAAGGTACACATGTACACAGGTACAAAGGATAATATAAAGGTTGGAGTTGAATATACAAACTTGAAAATTTGGCAACAAAATGTTATGAAAAGTATAAAATAATGATTAATGTACAAAAATAAAATTGACTGGTAGTAAATATGGTGTTTAATAAAATTTTAGTAAGTAATAATGATTACAAAATAAAGATTAATTAGCAAAAAAAAAAAAGTGAAAAAGTAATGTTTATTTCAAGTATTAAATTTTAAGAACAGTTATTTGGATTCAATATTGCCCTGGTAGTTATACTTGAGGTTATTTGGCAGTACAAGGAATTTAAGAGTACTCTAAGATAGTAAATGTGGTATTAAAACAGGTTATGGTAATTAGACAAGTAATGGTAATATGAATCATTTGTTACTAATCCAGGATCCCGGTGTTAGTTGGGAAGCTGAGACGGTGGCCCTGAAGGAGGGGTATTGTAAGTTTATTCAGGTATACACAAAATATCATACATAGCAGCACATGTGTAGGAACCTGGATAACCCAAAAAAGTCAGTGACTTATTTCTACTGTGGTCTTTGTGATAATTATTTATATTTAAATGTTAAAAACGACCCGAGTGTCTCTAGAGTCCCACAAGACTAACATACATCAGAAAGTTACAATTTGATTTTTGTGTAGAGTTCTCCCCAGTTGTGTGGATGGAAGGTCAATTAATTCGAGATTGTGTACACGTGAAAAATCCCCAACATAATTTCTAATATGATTGAACAGTTGGAAAACAGGAATAAATAAATTTGATATAAACAACATGCTGAAAACACCTAACCAAGACAGGACTCATAGAAATGGATTCAAGTTGAACAAATATAGATTTAGAAGGGATATAGGGAAGTACTGGTTTGACAATAGAATTGTTGGTAAGTGAAACTAGCTCCCAGGTTGTGTCATTGAGGAAAGAACCTTGGGTAGCTTTAAATATAGGTTTGACAGATATATGGGTGGGTGTGGGTTGGACCTATCTAATATAGGTCAGGAGGCCTATTGTAGTGTTCCCTTATGTTCTTATGAATGTAAGAGTATATGATCTCACCTGCTTGACGTTGGCAAGAGTGACAACATCCTGGAGGAAGGAGTAATGGAGGTCGTAAGTCACTACCAAGTCACATTGATTCATCTCTTGCATCACCAGTCTCGTCAGTACCTCCTTCAGTGACTCCAAGGGCTCCTCCACAGACTGCCTCCGGCAGCAGCGTCTTATCAGACTCCTGCTTAGGGAAGAGCCGTTCGTATACGGAAGGTGTTCATCTGGTAGACTCCCACGTTCTTTGTCTTGGGAGAGAATTTTCAGAGTGTCATTGCTAAACTTTGTAAATGGA